GATGCCCAGTGAAAGTCGGACATGCGCTGGTCTGGGACTGTCTGCGTGATGTGGAAAGATTCTGCGGAAATCTGTGAATATCCCCTCTTTTGGATTTTCTTGCAGAAACTTTTGGCTTGGAAATTGATTGGAGTTCTAAATTTCAAGTTGTTTTTTGGCCTCCCTTGTTTCATGCCTTTTTCCTCACTTCTTTAACACACACCACCAACACGATGCGGCCTTCATATAAGTATCACCTGATGGATCCCATCTTCCCATCTTCCTTTCTTCCCACCCACCACCACTCTCCCTATCCAACATTGTCCCTTCACGCACTCCAGCCTTAGTGAAGCTCTCGATGTCTGAGAGTAAGTCTATGTGCACTTTTGGTTGTTGAAGACTCCGTTTGGTATGTTTTTCACTGTATATGCTCACCAGTATGTGGCTCATGGGAATCACTGAACTCAAAAGGTTGGAGGTTGGGCGCACGGACTAGAGGATCATGTATACTGGTATGTCATGGAGCCTTTTGCCATGTCATGACATGCTCATTTCTTTCCCCAGGCTTCGGTTATGCCAACACACATCCACATCACACTGTCTGTGCTCTGTCAAGAACACAAAGAGGTGATATCTACAAGGGAGCCCGACCGTGTCTGTGTGTGAGAGTGCACGCGAAGTGAGTATATGTGCGAAGCTCATCGGGGGATCAGGTACCAGGATGCCGTGAGTGGAACAATCGTGGTATTAGCGGCATCAGTGTATATATAGATTCTGCAATATATCAGTCTTATTTCATCTAATTCACGATACGAGCAGAAGAGAGCAGAAAATTCTGCAAACAAAAGCCCAGTAAAACCTATGGTAATCTATTTATAGAAAGTATGTAATTTGGTGCGCAGATTCGCTGAAATCCGCAGAAAAAAATCTGCAGGTGGGTAAAAAATGGGGATGGTATGCGGATTTCTGCATTGCAGCTCAGCCCAGAAATCCGCAGACCAGCACATGTCCGACTTTCACTGGGTCTGATGGGCCACGTAGCCGCTTATTCGGCAAAGCCCGCCAGCTCATCAGACTCCGTTTACATGACAACTTACATAGATTTTTTCGTGGAATAACCCACGTCTCAAATAGTTTTCCGTGAACTGTAAGGAAGGTTTCGAATTTCAGACAACTTTCGTGAAACATATATAATAAGCCAATAATAAGCACCCAAATTTTTCTGAAAAGGGAGATGTGGAGTGACGGAATCAATATCACCAAACACTCTACCAAACAGAGTGTGCTATAGCCTATCAAAGCCTTGTGTACACAGCTGGTACACGGTGACAGATTTCACAAGGAATAAATCTACATTGTTCTGTTACAAATGTATACATAGTGAAAATTGGAAGATCTTACAAAATCAAGCTAAGGATTGGCTAACCATCAATCAATTAGCACAAGTAGCTACAACTTGAGGATTGTGTGGCAATCAAAGGGGTGGTGGAACATGGATCCCGTACACTGGCTGGGAGGGGGGGGGTCTGGCAGAAGGTTGAAAAAAAAATAGTGACCTCACGTATTTTTGTCGCAAATTGATCGTGTCGTTTCGCCATTCAACACTGCTCCCAAGTCTGGCCTAGCATTCACAACATCTGCCTCCAACGCCCTCACATACCCTGCTCATTACCTATACACCATCAACAATTCAATGATGATGCGGACGGATCATCCCCGCACACCGCTTTTTAAGTGCCGCCAGGCGGTTGTGCACTCTACACGGAATCTGTGTACTAAGTTCTCCCCAAGCCAGGCGAGAGCTGGCGAGGTAGTTACGATGTTTGCAACAGTGAAGGGAGTGTAGGCCATTGGATTTTGCATGTAAATGCATTGTTGAGAGTTTGTAAAATTGCGCTTTCCACTCACTTACACTAACTGGGAAAAAAGAATGTCTGGTCATTTTTTGGACAAAGTTGGTGCTGTAACACAAGAACCAAACATTTTCAGAACTAAGCTCTGGTGTATGAGACATAGCTAAGGAGGTGTAGATTGGACATACCAAGTCTGGGGATGAATGAATGAAAACTCAGGATAGGGCAGAGCATTCACTGTGACAACTTGCAAAAATAGGATTTGACAAAATAGGAAATTCTGAATGACTGCAACCTACTGGAAGCAATTCACAATTTGAAGCAGAAATATTTTAAACACTCAATCTCCCTGCTATTGTCATAAACCCCATAAAGTCTCTGAGATATAAAATTCTATAGTCTCCCCAAAAAAGTGAATTTGAATTGATTCCCCTCCTTGGACATTTGCAGTTGCAAATATTGCCCAGGATTGATAGGAGAAGGTATCTATTGTCATAGTGTTGTGCATGTACATAACTATTACTGTTCCATGATCTAATTTGACCACATTGCCAGGAATAAAGCATTTAATGGCTAATAAAACTTCAAGAAACTGTGAAAATTAAGAGACATATAGTCAATATGGTTCCCAGAAACCCTGCTTCCAAGGGGTTACAGTTAATATGGGTGTTTTGAAATGTCCATGCCAAGTGCTTCTACCTATCTCTTGAGTTTTGGGCACAGATGCTTCTCAAATGGCCCACAAAGCTCACTGAAGCATGACAGAGAGATTTCCAAATCAGGCCTAGAAAGGTCTGGGGGTCTCAGATCCTTGTATGAATAGGACCTCTGTTTATTTCCTTGGGATAGTGTTCCTAGGTATGAGAAGTGCCTTGTGAAATATTTTCAGCCCCAATTCACCAAGAAAAATGTCAAGGATTGGTCCAGGATGATTGCTCTATGCAAATGTACTTTTCTTGGGGACTATTCAAGTTATACCCAGTGTAAATTTATTTGCTATCATATTATACTTCAGGTCTTGTTTAAAGGACATCCTGAGTCTCCATGGATTAACTCAAAAGGGTGGTAGCATTTTTTCTTCTTGCAGAAAAGAAGGACCAATGTTGTAGATACTTGTTTACTTTCAGAAAAACTCTGGAAATTAACTTCTACAGACATCATGCAATGGTCATTTTAACATTTCTACCTACCTTTTGTATTATACACACTACAAACATTAATAGGGAGTCATTTTTCCTCATTCCAACAAATATATTGAGTGAAAAATACATAAAGTGGAGAACAAGTTCAAATTTACCTTTTAGGGGAGGATATAAATTTTCTAGCCCAAAGACTTTATGAAGCTCATAACAATAGCAGGGAGATCCAGTGTTCAAAATATCTCTTCCTCAAGTTGTGAATTGCTTTCAGTAGGTTGCAGTCATTCAGAATGTCCTATTTTGTCAAATCCTATTTTTGGAAGTTGTCACAGTGAATGCTCTGCCTTATCCTGAGTTTTCATTCATTCATCCCCAGACTTGGTATGTACAATCTACACCTCCTTAGCTATGTCTCATACACCAGAGCTTAGTTCTGAAAATGTTTGGTTCTTGTGTTACAGCACCAACTTTGTCCAAAAAATGACCAGACATTCTTTTTTCCCAGTTAGTGTATGTTCCTTCGTGCAAAGACTTGCATGCAGGGCATCTTTAACTGTGATATCAAAGTTTGTGCATTCTGAATTGATTGGTAGATACCATAGGATAAAAAAAAACATTCAATAAAACATTGGAACTTGGAAAAACATACCTTATATAGTAGGAGGAGGAGGGGGGGAGGTCAGCCAAACCCATGAAAAAAAAATAGGGAGTGTTGGGACATTTTCCACATTCTGCCACCCCCTTGGTGGCAATGAAATTTTTGTGTATTTTATGCATGTAATGACTCTCGTAAACTGTATCTACGTGGACAATGTTTGCGAGTGGCATGATAAGTACAGGAGGGAAACGGAGGCAACACCGACGCGACGAACGCGACAGACCCATCACCTCATCACGTTTAGTTGTGGCCGCACGTGAGAGTCTCAGTGGCGTTTTCCGAAGGAGCCTCAAGGCTTTTAGCCCTGGGGCTGGCAGCCGGGTCAGCGGGTGGTCTGACATTCTGCAACCGTCTTCATTGTGCAATGGTGATGATGTGACATGAAAGGGTTGATGTGCGGCCGAAACACTGGAGAGTCATTAATCACTACTAGCTCACATTGAATGATGCCTTGGCTTGATGTCGTGGTAGAGTTGGGAAGGAAGATACACACTTGAAACAGGGCCGAATAAGAAAATATGGCTATGTACAAGGGGGTAGTGGGACATGGATCCTGAACCAAGGGTAGGTGGGGGGGTGGTCTGGCCAAAGGCTGAAAAAAAAGACTGACCTTGGACTGACCCCCATCAATTTGCTGGTCGAAGTGGTGAGCAATGTGCCTTTTGGAACTTTGGATGTTTTAGTTGAGTTTGAGATGCAGCAACACATGTATTTCCGTGGATAGTGATGCATCCGAAGGTAATAGTGCAAGGATTTAGAGTCCCCGCCGCTGTACTTGCATTTTTGGTTGGTTTTTGGACTGTTTACACTGTGTGGCAATCCTTGCTCCACGAACCACCCCATGCACAATGGAAACTCGATTCCTCGACTCCCCATTTACCTTTGAGGATTTTCATCACATATTGATGCTTGGAATTGGCTTGGAAAGAAATTGGAAAGAAACACCGTCTCATTTTAGCCTTACTTACCATACATCTTTGAACAAGTACATGCCTTAAATCTGTTTTGTTTAGCTTAGGCAAAAGGTGGCCAACCGCCTGTGCATAGTTGACTCAAGAGTTGACTTCTACGTAAATCTTACAAATAAAAAAATAAAAAACATGAGTGTGGAAAAAACATACTCTATTAGGAAGGTAGGTGGTGGGGGGGTGTCAAGCTGAACTCTGAAAAAGAAAAAACAAGTGTTGGTCTCTTTTCCACATTCTGCCACCCCCTTGGCTATGTATGTATGTAGCTCCATAATCATGAACACATTGGACATGCCAACAGTGGACAACCTGATAATATTAATTATCAAAATTTCGAAATGAAGAACAATATGAGAACTGAACCCATATCTTCTGAGCATATGACCAAGAATAAATTCATGGAAATTTTTAGTATACATGACTTACATCTGCATTATTTTTCGGCTCAAGAATTTAGATCATCAATATTCTGGCAACCCTCTACAACTCCGCTGTGTTGGTGACCTTGCACAAACACCTTGAGAAATTCTCTCAGCCTCTGATGAAAAAAATAAATTAGCACACTGCATCTCTCGCAGCAGCTCAAACATTTGTAACTGCTTTTTTCTAATCGAATATCTTATGCAAGTTAACTACATGTGTCTACATTTTCCTCAAGCGTCTCGCCTTGCAGCTGGAGAAAAAGAAAAGGGGAAAGACAATAGAGGCTGGTGCTTTATGAGTTAGATGAGATGAATTTCTTTCAGATTGTATGGGGCCCTGCCCTCTGACACCCCCCAACCCAGGAATCAACGGTTGGCACTTTGCTAATTGATTAGTGAACTGCGCCCATTTTGTCAGTGTCATTCTGAATCTTAGCTTTACTATGACCTACCAGCACCTCGGCACACCCTACGAGTCAGCAGTCACTGATTGTCACATATTTTGGCTGGACAAGCATGACTCTCATTTTCCAAGTTGTCATGCAACATCACGCTTGTCCAGCCAAAATATGTGACAATCAGTGACTGCCAACTCGTAGGGTGCGCCGAGGTGCTGGTAGGGCATAGTATGTGGATCGACTTGAAACCAGTGGTGTGACCTACCCGACCACGTGACAGTCCAACCACATCAATACATCCAAATAAAGACCAACAATAATGCAGTGCAGCAAGCCGCATGGCCTGCTATGGTCTATTTTAATTGAATGTTAAATTATACATTGACTTAGCTCATCTTCTTTTTTTTTTTGGAGGTAACAGCACAGTATGGCCGTCTCGTCTCCCGGTCATTGATCTTTCAAGTTCATCTTACTTTACTTTTCTGCCACGATGCCTCATAAGATTTTTCTTCTAACTAATGGTTTCAAAGTCTTACATGGTCATCATACGGATTCCAGGTACGATTCCTTTAAAGGTGAGGTAGTAAGCGACAACCACACAAGGTGTATTGACTGTCCGTTAGAGCGAACACATCCGCCAGTCATTGAAACCCCATTGTTCGGATGTGTACGTTAACTGATAGAAGGTGAGTGTCATTGCAGCTTATTTCTTAATGCTAAATCAAAGTTCTCTTCTCAGTCGTCGATCAGAAGAATGGCTCATCAGCATCTTGACCTTTCAAGGACCTTCATGGATCAACCAGAAAATATAATCAAAGCAGAACAAGAGGTACGCTCCTTGCTCAAATTTCAACCTGTATCACGCATTTGCTTTTAGCTGTGGCCGATGTATCCCAATCTGTTTTTGACCAGCGACGATAGAGCAAAGCGACGAAAGGCTTTAGCAAATGCTTATATGTCCAAGGTGTTCTGTGCCAATAGGTCTAAAGCGATGTCAGCTGTCATGCCAATAAATGTACATATCTGTTATTCTTATGCAACACACATGCTCATACTGCTTGTTTCAAGAGAGCCAATAGACAATCCACAGTGTGTATCTTTTCCAAATGTGTATCGCATGTGATATATTCAAGTACAAGCTGAATTAAACAGGACATCCGTTGGCGTGTGGAGGAAACGACACATTCTATATACCAGAAATAATTGAACAGTCAGGACCCAATTCAGAGAGATATTAATATCGCTGAACATCTTTCAGGTTCATGACAAATGTGATCACAGAGTCACTGTATAAAAAAAAGAAATAGGACGCGAAGGGCAGACATGCATTATATACACAGTTTGTAGACATGTATTAGCTCAAAGCAGGCCGTCATGTGCAAGAAATGTAGATTAAATATGTTACATAAAAAGATGAGGTTTGGTCGTCTACCCCTTGTTCATCGACGGCTGTATTGACCATGATATTCACGTTAAGCCACATAGTAGCATATGACCGTGTGAAGAAACGTGATGTCTCAGTGGCACGTGCAGCACGTGAATCTTTTCCCACCCGACGACCCACCACAAGACCCACTACTAACGTAACGGGAATATCATACTTCAACCACTTTCCTGGCGACATACAGTGTCTTTCACAGCCGCTTGCACACATGAATCGTGAATTTTGTGTTTGCTTCTGTTGTTCTCAGGGTTTTTTTGTCACAGATTGGCTCAGAACGGATGAGTTGATCTCAGGGATCTTGAGTGAACCGGCGTCCGACCTCACTCTAGCCCTTGCCAATGGCAACTCAAGCCTCTGGATACTTAATTATCTGGCATGAAGAAGAATCCCTTTCTCCTCGCGAAATTGCTGACCTGCAGATGTTTAATTCGCCGTGACAAAAAACCCTGAGGGTAACAGGTACAACAGAAGCAAACACGAAATCACGATTCACGAACTGCAAACGGCTGTGAAAGACACCGTAAGCTCAAGTGAAACCAGCGACTATTAAAAAATTTTCATCGCATAAACTGTTGATAAACTGTTGAAGTCGTAATGTGAAGGACTCCGATGGAGCGGTACTTGTACACTTTAACAATGTAGAAAGGAGTGGCTAGTAAACAATATGCACCATAACGAATGACAAAGTTACTCTTTTACACATCCGTAAGCAATACCACCATTAAGGTCAAAGCGCGTACTCGAACCACGCAGACAGATCGCCTAACCCAGGTTTCTCCTCGTCTTTCTTCGACGTCACTCGAATATTTTTCTTTTTCTTGTTCTGATTCCACAGGTAACACGTGTTCATCCCACTAAGAAGAAACATGAGTACAGAAAATGTCAGGAGTGTTCTGGTAGCTTTGAGGTATCGCGGAGCAGGGGACAGGGATCCCAGGAGCCACGTGGCGAGGATGCCGCCCGAGTTAGTCATGATAAAACCGATGGCAATGGCTGTTGCACGACGGGCATGTGGAGCGGCGTTGTTGGCGCTCCAGGTGGAGAGCGTGGGTGCGGCGAGGTAGGTGCCGGAAATCGAAAAGAACAAAGATCCATACTGGACATGAGGGGTGGTAGCGCCTGTGGTGCTATCAGTTTATAGAGGTCTGAAGTCGAAGAGTTGATGAACTCACCCAAGAAAACGCCGAATCCCATCACGCATAGAAAGGATGAGAACATCGCCACGATGCCACGGCATCGGTATTTGTCAGATACATAAGCGCCGGTCATGCTTACTGAAATCAAACAGACCTTAGCGAGTGGAAGTCAAAGAGGGAACCCTACTCACAGACGAAGGCAACCACGAAAGGGGGAACACTCATCAGCTGCGCACGAGACGTGTTGTAACCAAGGCTTTGAACGATTGAAGGTGTGAAGCTAACTCCAAATGTCTAGTTCTTTGAAGGAACCCAGGACCGGTGGACTTACTATGCAAGGCCAAATAAAATCGCTCCTGAGCCATCGTCATCACTTATTTGACTGCTGACAGTTGAAATAAACTCACCATCGAAGAAGAATATGATAGCCAACATCCAGACCTGGGGAAGCTTGAACGCCATGCCAACTTCCCTCCAGCTGAATGCATCCGCAGCTTCGTCTTTTCCAGTTGCGCCGTCTTCCCGGAGCTTTAAAACAATATATCTTCTCTCCTGCTCGTTGAAGAAGCGAGCCTGGGCTGGCGATCTTGGCAGCAGAAGGTATGAAAGAGCACCAAGGGCGAAGGTGAACGACCCTTCGATAATGAAAATCCACGCCCAGCCGTGCCGGTTCCCAATGCCGTTCACCCGAATAATACCAAAAGCAAGGAGACTCGAGAATGCGCCAGAGAGAGACGCCGCGGAGAAGAAGGCGGAGATACTGTGATGCAATGGGGAGGGTGAGTATTGCCCCTTCGACATGGCCAGGGCCAGAGAAGATCAAGGTTCGAATTTATACGACCGTTGAAAATAAATAAGGGATTGGCTCACCGCCATTGAAGCTGATGACGAGGGTAGAAGAAAGATAGGTATAAGACGAGACCGGGGAAGACGCCGCCTATTACGGTGAGGCTTCCACTTTCACGGATTTAACGAAAAATCGAACCTTCCAAAAGGCCTAGAAAGAATCGGCAAGCCAATAGACCACCATAGGTTTGAACGACACCTTGGAAGCGAGAAGAATTGATCGCGCAACGCTATGGAAACTGAGAAACAAACCTTGGAGAGCAGTAACGACGCCCCACAGAGTCAACATGGTGGGGAGCATTAAGTTAGGCCCGACGGTCTGTCACGTAAATTTAACAACATATAAACTGAAGAGGAGAGAACTGCTCGCCTTGAGAAGGAGATTTGAAGGGAGCTCGGCAACGATGTAGGGTACATATGTGACAGTCAAGGCGATGCTATACTCTTTGTTTGTCATCTTCAGATCTTTCTGAAGGCCAGCCACCCGTGCGTTGCCAATATTGCTGCGATCCTATTAAGCCGCCACGATCAGAAACGCCAAAGAAGAGACCGATGAAAACTTGCCAAAAAGGACAAAAAGTAGAACATAGCCACGACGGGCAAAATCCACATATCCAATTTTCGCCACACTTGCTTTTCCAAGAGAGGGTCAAAAACAGTTGACGGAGACTCGCTCCTATCGCCGCTGCTCGCTTCGTGTATCTTCACCGTCTCTCCCCCAGTGGATGTTTGTAAAGAAACTTTTCCCATCCTTCAGGGGCAATCAAAGGTAGAATGGGCGGTCGAGGGGGAGGGACTATGGACTTTGAATGGCAAAAATTATATATGGGGTTTAGAGGCGTGAGCCGGATCCTTACGATGGTGCTTCGGTGTTTGCATCATGGTCAATGGGAGAGAACAGCTGTCAACGTTTAGTACATAAACCCTTTTAGATCGCACGATCACGCGGCTAGTTATGCAATTTGATTTAAAGATTTTTGTACGAACTTGAAGACTTTACAGGCTGCGGCAGAAAGGAGCTGCCAGTGGACAGGTAAGTACTCGTAGTAGAACGGTTTGAAAAAATATTCCCAGCAATAAATATTTTACAACTACGATGACTTTGGATTCTTAGATTTGAGGGAGACCCATCGGATAATCATTCAAACAGCTTTGACTGTTCAAGTTACCAAGTCCTTACTACGGCTTTAAAACCTGTTTTGATGGGGGAATCAAGAAAGTACTTTATTATTCAAGGTGCTGGTTGCCGTGACAATTACTCTTCTTCTAAGCATTCGCGTATTTAAATATCTGTCGTGGAAGAATTTACACAACAAAGGAACTTCCTACCAGAAGCTCACATATTCAAAGCGTAGTTCGCCCAACAAACTGGGAGTTCCACACGAGCTCTCTCGTCGGCGACAGGGTGCCTCCTTGATGCTTCCTTTCATCATTCTTCTGCTCCAATCGGAACCGACAGTGGAAGGTCTGCCGCTTGTGGCACCTGAATCTCCTCAAATTGCTCGGATGAAAAGATGGCCGATAACGTTGATATCACAAAAGCGCATGGTCAACGCTTGATGGAAGGTGGGAGATCATCTCGGAATGGTGCCCAGCTTCGTAGATAGTAGATGGTCATGTCGGTATTTGGCCTGATTGGGACACAGTGAATAATTTATTTCATAAACGCGGTTCACAAGTAAGACTCCAAGAAGTGTGTGATGAATGTGCTCTCTGCTATGCGCCTATTTCGTAGCAGACGACACCATGCGATTTGTTGAATTGCTGTATTCTTTGGTCTTTACGACCTAATCGCGATCCTTGAATACATATCGCGAGGATGAAAAAAGTATACGAAACTGACTTTTGTCACTCTAATGCCAGATTCAATGTCCGAGGAGCAGGTTTGATGACCCTCGAAAGTTTGAGGCGTATCAAGTTCATAGAAAGCCGAAGTGGATTTCTGTGAGTGAGTGAGCCGGATGTTACTTCTTCGCTAATAAATGGTTACCGTCGGGGAATAAAAATCCCTCTGGCTTTCAATGAGCGTTCGAAAAAGACATGGTCATAAGAGTTCACGCTTACAAATCTACGGTCACCAGAGGATAACTGCACATTATTCTGGTTAGAATACTTCCCCGAGGTTTCGTTGAGTTTGGCACGGGCGTTGAGAGTGGATAATAGACAGTTAGCGTAGAGTTTTGTCAATGCCAAATCCCAAATGAAGTTCCTTGGTAAAGAATCAGTACAGTAGAAGTTCTGGGATATCACTGGTATCAGTCGCGTACAAGGCAGTGTGCTATATCGCGACAAGATATATTTGAGTTTTTGAATCACGGTGAAATTGGCGGAGCGTACAGGAAGAGCTGAAAGCACGGTTATCACCGGGCGAATCGTGTTGGAAGAATAGGAATACTCACTCATGAAAAAGATGACGTCGCCAATTGCAACCAGGGCGCTACCGGACATGGCGTCAGAAGGAGGAGTAAGGACATGGAGGATCAGCAGCATACGTCAACATGCCTGTCTGAACAGTCGCTGGAAAGAGAAACAGTCAAAGTCTTTTCACCAATGTCAAAGGCGCAACTCACTTCGAATGATTTTTGAAATGACGTCGTCAGTAGCGGTGAAGCCAGTTTTTCTTTTATTCTTTTATTCTGCGCGTTTGGTGATCTTGGAGACAATGACCGACAGTATACTCACGAGTGTTATGACAAGCACCACCGTTATCATAACGTCTGAGACGACAGCTGACAAGAACCAGAGCAGTGCAGGCCAATGGAGTTCGGGTTTGCGGGCGAATACTTTGACCTTCACGATGAGGACAGTGGTCCATGTTCCACCCCCTGCAATCATGATAATCAGAAAACCGAGATAGAATTCCAAGCCATACCGAGAGACACAACGGCGAAGAAGGCAATAACACCCGGAAGCCAGTTGTTCTTCGATAATAGCCAGATGCGGTAAGCAAAGAAGAGTTGTATCGGAGTCGAGATCGCAACCTACAATCGCATTGGCACCTGATCTTACGAACAAGAAGAAACAGACGTACAATCGTGATCGGTTCTTCATCCGCCAAAGCGAGGTTAAAACTTTTTCTTTCAGCACGGAGGGAGGCTTTACCTGCGGCAAATACTATCTGCCGGTGAAACAGCACTGACGGCTTGAATCATAAAAACGTACGTGTTGGGAATAATGTTGTTGCGACTGGCCTTCCGAAATTCTGGATCAGAGGTTGGTACATCATGGCCATGTTGCATCCGGTGTTAAGAGTCTCCATGAAGAACACGTAGACAACCTACGTTGAGATTGTTACGTCTGACATCTCATGAAGTGGTAGTGCTTCCTCACGAGATATTTAATCCAACGGGCATCCCTCACAAACTGTTGGAAAGAAGCACAGAGAAAACATGGTGGACGCACCCCTTATACGTTAGATAATAATGATAGGTCTGCCCACAATCTCGGGATGATGTCAAGTAGCTGGAGTACTAATATATACGGACCTGGACAATCAATATCTGGACGATGTTAGATTGTAATGAAGGAAGAAAGTATGCGGGTGCTTACCCCATACAGAATCATGTTCAGAAAGACCCCAATGAGCATTGGGCCAAACCTACCCCAGACTTGAATATCAGCCCACAAGCATCGAAAAGATAGACGACGCACGAGAGCCTGACATCGGGTACTGTAGGAACTATGGCCATCGTGACCACTGAAAGAAGGTGAGACGCTTAGTGAATGTAGGGTTGATTAGGGACGGGATACGCAACGGCGGCGATGAAGGGGCTACTCCTTATGAAGAGCCGTGAGATAGAAAGTGGGAATGAGAAGCGCAGAAATGGAACAAGAGGCATCAAGCATCCGAAATTCTTGTGATCTCTGCAATGACCCCGAAAACCCCAAGTTCAACTGTTCACGCGCGGTCCTGCAAGACGTCACCTCAAAAGAATTGGTGATAAGCGTTATAATGATCTACCTCCCAAGGTAAGATAGATTGTTGATGAACGAGATGGTAAACGATACCCATGGTACGGAACATCAAATCGTAGAAATGAAGGTTTGTGCTGATTCCGATACGCACGGCCAGAGCGGTCGACGAGTGGTGGAAGCGAGAAAAAGTTGCGCGAAGCCGGTGTTGAGGGTGCTGCGGAAAGATCAAATATTTGCCTGTATTTGGCAAAGCCTTCTTCACGGCTCTTTCAAGTACCAATGTGAGCTTATTAGAGCGAAAATGTCAGAGAAAGAAGAATGATCCCTACTGCCAATTTGGTGTAAGACCCTTGACATCAAGGACAGATCGATAAATGATAATCACTTTCTCTGCTGCCAGAATACGTGTTTCACAAGCATAAAAAAGAACGCTCTACTCAGGCTCTACTTAGTCCGATTCAAACAAGGCAATTAAGCGAAGGCTTTGACAGATCCCTTGACGAGTGGGTCATTTTTTCACCTGTTATGTGGTTAGGACAGGCCTTTGGAGCAGTTTTACTTTCGACAGGGGTTTTGCTATGGTTCAAAGAGGCATACATAAAGAAACTGATGTCGCTATTTTGAAAATGTGTTTCAAGATTGTCCATAGGGCAAACTCTTTGAGCAAGGCTTCGCCTTGGGAATGCAGTTGCCGACAAATTTAAACAACTACATCAATTGTTTTTATTCCGTCGGCCCCCTTTGAACAATACTAGTAAATGCACTGTCAAAATTATCAACGCCCGATTGCCTCTTGTTTGAGTTGTCAATGATAATACATCAGGCCCCGAGAAAGAATTTTGCTTTAAATGGAGTGGGTGATACTGGTTGTGGTGGAGTGGACGCGAGAGCAGATGAATCGGTGCCGGCCTTGTGCAGTCACGTCAAAAAGTTGAAGCTCCTTCCATATGGCTATCCTCCTATGATTCCCCATACGATATGGCTATAACCGTATTGAGTGTAAGGTCGTGTGTGTCAATTCCCACTACTGCTGTAAACATCACAGATGATATTTCCCAAATACAATATTGATATCCGCAACAGATTCCGGGTGAGAAATACGTCCATGGGACTTCGCTCTTCAAAACAGTTTTGATTGACATGCGCATTCTTCCTCACTCCAACAAGTAACTCAAGCGCCGCTAAGTCATGAGGAAAAAAAATTATGGCTATACAGATAATCAGGTCTCAAACCCCAACACCACAGAAAGAATGGAGGTAGTGAATATAATACATGCAAGAGAAACAAGCAGTTTCTCATCACGTCGATGTGTCATAGATCCCCTTCTCAAGCTCAATGTCCTCATTGTAACTATTAGGTCCAGGAATCTCGACAATAATACTCATCGGGCGGTTGACAACATTTTGTTTCTCGAACTCCGACCCATGTTTCCTATAAAATCACCGATCAACTCGCTAGAATGATGAATTATTATCGAGTGACGTACTCTGGTCCGATTAAAATGACGAGGATCAAGAATGCAGCTCCAGCGCTAATAAATATTGCTTGTAGCTGCGATTTTGCCATCGTAACGCGTAAATGGACCGTGAAAATTTTCAGGTGGGGTGCATACCTTGCCGTAATCCGGGACAACTACGGAAGAATTTTTTCCAGTGACCTTAGTTGTAAGGTGTTCGGCCCCAACTTGGCAAGGAATTAGACGCGGAATCGTATCGTCTCATGAGGACACAGACTCACAGGCCTGGATAGTTGGCGCGACAGAGGATATTATCTATATGTGGAGGTGAGGAGCAGCTTAGGTCGCGTTCAGAAGACTCACATTTCCCATCTGGTATACAACGCCAGGAAAGGTGGCACGCAATGCAGGCGGGGAAAGCTCTGCTAAGTAAATCGGAATCTGCGTTGCGTCAGAGTCAAAAAGCAACGTCGACAGTAGTGGCGGGAACTGACAACACCCATTGCACCTTGAACGGCATGTTGAACGCCAAATGCACCATTACTGACCAACATAAATGACGTCCCTTTGATGGCGATCGGCAGAAATGCTGTGTTGATTCGATAGTTTTTGATTGGAATATTGGGAAACATTGGATTTCAATGACGTACCCACAAGGAGCACGATCATGAAGCTGCGAGGACGGATGAGTAATCTCCCTTGAAAGGAGATTTTTGGGACTCACATCATCGCTATCCGCCGGCCAAAGCGTTGACTGAGGTTGCCTGTAGCCACCGACCCCCTGCAAATATTAGTTATCACGCAGGTCAGAGATATCCTTGTAGGCTAGGAGTAATACGTACAGAGTAGCGCCCTAAAAGTGTCGCGCGTCTCAGGACTTCGTTGAACTAAAAAGAAACAGTATAAGATGCTCACAATACCGCCAAAGATCGTCATAAACAATGCAGGTCCAGGCTCAAGCCCCTTGTTCTTCACCAGGAACAAGACATACATATCCTAGCAAGAACAAATTTTTAGAACGCAATGTTAGTTGACCATGATAATTTTGCGTACCCGAGAGGCACTCATTAGGAAGCCGAAACCTGAAATTATTATGTTGTGAGTGAACGAAAACAAGAGGATGTATAATACATACTGGCCATAAGCACGACGGCGTAAACACAAAGAAGCCAGCGCCATTTCAAGACCTTTTTTATCTCCTTCCAGAACTCCTTTGCCTTCTTCGATCCTTCTATTCCTTGCGCTTGCTCTGCCGCCTTGGTGCTTGAGAAGGACTCGCTCTCAGGAAGGATCGCTCGGAGGCAGGCGGCTACGAAAGACATGGCGAATCCAATCCAGTATAAAGTTCTCCAGCCCGCCTTGACTTTTGGAACGAGGAACATGGAGATTACCGCAGAAATGATATATCCAGCTGCAGAGCCTTGTTGTAGGACGCCACTAACGAAGCCACGAGCATCGAGGGGAACATTCTCGAGCACGTTAGATGTTGATACGCCCCATATTCCACCCATAGCAATAGCTGAGGCAGATCGAACGACATTGAATTGGTCGAATTCTCGAACGAAACCTGTGCAGAGCTGAAAGGCGGAGAGGAGGAAGAGGTTGCAGACGAGGGGCCATTTCCGGCCGTAACGATCCGAAAGGATCCCGAATAGAAGCTATTGGTGATTATGTAAGCACATGTCGCGACAAGAATTTAAAGGTGGAGGCGTACCGCACCAATCGGTCGAAATAAAAGTGTAATAGTAATGGCCGAGTTCTATAAAGTAAAATTCTGTAGTTAATGCTCTATTGAAAGAGAATTCCGAAGCTAGAACGTACAACTTGCTGAGTGGTCTTTTTAAACTCTTTCGCAATGTACTCGCCCTGACTGCCAGCAACGAAGGACAGGGAATACAAATCGATGGAATCGCAAGTCCACGCCAGCCAGCTGAAATTCGAGAGAAAGGTTAGTTGAGCCTGATCAATAAGCAATTTTTCGAGCAGAAAAAAGTTGAACAGGTGGGGAGGAATGTGGACGATGGCGTGGCTAAATATACCGACGATAACGACGTACCCGACGAAGAACTGTGCCCACTGAATCCCAGTCAAGGAGCGTAGAGATCTCCACAAAGACACCGTTCGCTGACGCTGTTCTTTGTTGCGAACGAGATTTCGTAGAAAGTGGGGCGCCATCGCTAGCCGCCGTGAGGGGTGGAATACAAGACCTGTATATTCTCGTTGTCACAGGACGTCTTTATAGAGCCTCCCCAGGCGTATCCTTGGAAGAAAGAGCTTCTTTGCATTCATGTCCCGGCGAATAATACCGACGCCAGGTGGTGGTGGTGGTATGTGACCGTGATCCCGAGAATTCGACAGATTTTTCTACAAAGGTCGTTATTGGCCGAACAACTATTTGTACGAAAGTAAGGGGGGATCCGTCAAGAAATTTCTCATTTCATTTATCCGTACGGTTTTTCCGCCCTCGAAATCGAGGATTTTGGCACGATTTACCTTTCTTTTTGCCCATCTTTACGTTTTTCATCCTATTTAGGCAGCTGAAGAGGCATTCATCCTTCTGAAGCGTTGATGTGCTGCGGTAGAACTTCGAGTGAAGGAGTTCGGTTTTTCCGCGGCGTCGACAAGGCTCCGCAAGGATGTCGGTTGATTGTCGCATCAGTAGTTGCCAATCACTCAGTCCGACAAAATTTATATATCGTGCAGCATCGATATGAAACAGTAGACGAATGGTAGCAATGCAATGAAACTGCGAGGGTGGGGTAATATGTTATGTAACGGTGACAAAATGTTCGCTTCCTTTTTTTTCACTGGAATGCCATATCTATAGCCTATATCCGGTTGACGTCTCGGGTGAGTGGTCTTTCTTATTCGTAGATCGCCTCTTCTGAAAAGCAGGCAGCGACACGATATCGATCCCGAAAGCTTTGCGCTGTTAGTCCACTTGGTGATCCTAACGATGCGAGAGATAGGATTCTTCCTGACATCAGGACCGTCATGATGATGAAAATGTCGCACCGGTCTTTTGGAAAGTATTGTGGAAAGAGGTAAGTCGAGGGGAAGTGGGGACCCGTATATATAAATAAAAGAGCACATGTGTACCCGGGTGTTGCTATACATAGCAGCCATAGGGGATCGCCGGGAGCTATTCTGTGAGAACGAATGTAGCAACGGAGAAATGTAGCTGCTAATTATTGACATGTGCCACGGGGTCCGCGATTCGTTTCACAACTTAGGATCGGGGAGAGATTTCTGTGGGGAATTTGTGCGTTCGTAGGTTGGTAGAACCCTGGGGACAATCGACCTACAAAAAGGACTGACCACTGCAACGTTGACGTCAGTCACAAGGAACGAAGCCGCGTTTTTGCTGGTCATAAGAACGTCCATGTTGTAGGATTTGATGGGAGCAAAACTATGTGAAGGATCCCAATCCCCCGTATATGCAAGGAAGGGTGAGTCGGCCCCGAAGAAGGACAACAGAAGGTGAACTTGAAAGGCGAGCAGTAATGTAGTGGTCCGTGCATCAAATTATCCCTTGTTCGCCAGGACCATCACATAGGCCGTTTGTAACTTTTAACTTTGTTGTGGGTGAGGGCCTCTAATGGGTCGCGGGGATCGACGCTATATTCGTGTTGTGACGCGGAGCCTGACGTGTCCGTGAGTTTCTCTGGAGATTTCGGGAGAAGTATAGGCGAAGGCCTTCCAAAAATGACAACCATGAAGATGGTGAATCCGATAGAGACGTGAAGAGGAAGATGACGAAGAGAAGATAAGAAGATAGAGGGTGACATTACCCGGAAAGCTTGCGCGTAGTAATGAGTGTCACGAAATAGCATGTCATCGACAATCCGTAAAACGTGCAACCAGAGTGTCAGCTCGATGAGGGGACTTTGGAAATTGAGGACCCCTACTACAGTGTGCGTTCCTATTATGACTTGTAAGTCCCAGACAAACCAACTGATAAGAAAAACTCGGAAGAGCGACGCTACCCGTTTGGCGGCTAGGTCGGGAATGGATGAGGTACTTACCTGCTGAAAAGCCGCAACTTCAAGTTCAACTTGAAGCAGATGCGTTATAGATGCAGATCAGGTAGTATGACACTGTTGGTCACCCGAAGTTGTGAATAAAACCAATCAACTTGCTGGCAGGTAAAAGACTCACGAAGCAGACAACGCTAGCAGTTTAGATGATATCCGAAAGACGGCTGGGCCACAGTAAAAGCTCGCACGGACTTCTTTGTTCGGATGATGCCGGTTGAAAGGTTCTTGATGATGATCTGGTTACTGGTGGGTTATGCCCTTCTCCAGAAGGTCGACGACGTTGCGATGGCCCCAAAGTTAACAAGTCAAATGAAATGACGCTCTCTGTTTTGGTTGAGACACAGCGGCTAGGACTCGTCAAGATCGCGACTCTGGTCGAAAGGTGGGTAAAAAGGTCGAGGCTAGAAAAGCTGACGAGATCCAGAGGATGATGGAGAAAAAGGTTGGAAACGACCTCGATTGTCGACGCAACTAGTATCTTGAACCCCTTTGTCTCAGCAGAACTGTTCGAGCAAAATGAGGGCGCCGGTTGAGCAATTTGCAGCAGCCCTGCAGAGCGTCAAAGGGAAGGTTCCGTGGTCTCCCCACCCGAAGCGCTCGTGGAATGTGTGCATGTGAGACATGAGGTCACCCGGGTTCGTGATAATATTCGGCTTCGACAGTGTCACGTCAGTCACCGTGATTGACGTGATGTCCAAATAAGCCAAAGCATTGCAACAGTTGCCAAATGGCAGCTTTTGAAATCTTTTTGGTCCGACCCCCATTCCCGCCGAGCCTCTCGTCGATACTTGGCCTCGTTGACGCGGCATCCACACGACGTGCTTGCCGCGTATGGACGCGAAAATGCCCAGACACCAGAGAGCGACACAAGAGACGCGACGGCAACGTGCCCAAACGCGACATGCAACCAACCAAACGACTGACATTGACTGTACGCGACCGACGCATAGAGCGAAAATGCCCAGACACGGAAAATGCCCAGACACGAGAGACGCGACACAAGAGACGCGACGGCAACACGCCCAAATGCGACGCGACATGCAACCAACCAAACGACGGTACGCGACTGACACATAGCGCGAAAATGCCCAAACACGGAAGACCCGACACACGGCAACATGCCCAAATGCGATCGACACATCGCATCGTGCCGGGCCTTTATTGGCCAATGGGTAGAGTGCAGGCGATGGGGGTGTTAGGTAGAACCGTGTATGTGATTCTGTATGCCCCCCTCCCCTCCCCTTGTTTTGAATCTAATACCACCCCTTCTACTTAGTTTTGTTTGTGTTGATGTGGACCATGGCATGGTGTGCTGATGAGCTCGCGCGGCGGATGCAACGGGGTGGGTTTGGGGTGTGCACAAACACCAACCCTTGTGTGTTGTAGATATATGTAGATATCTCATACCATATAATTTATGTAGTTGTTGTCCCCAGTATGTCATGGAAAACGAATAAGCGTAGCAAGAAAAACCTTGTAAAAAACGTGCTGAATTTGCCTTAGAAAAAAATTGACGTTGCTTACAGCCGTTTGCATAAGTCATTGAACACTTCGATTTTTTTTGCGTCGTCACGTGCCAACTTTCCCGTAGCCAAACAAATGATTGATCGAGTAGATAACGTTGAGATAATGCGCGCTCTACTGCACTCCTCTCCCTTTGCCCGCTCACTTTCGTCCATAATCGAGTCCCAGACTCCTACCTGAGCTACACTCACCTCGAACAAGGTATTTTCTATTTCCTGTCAACCTTGCTCTCACTTATCAAATCCGAAGCTGAGCCGAAAAATCAACGCGCATTGTACTGCCTCGTTCACCATCCTGAAGCCTTGCGTCCAGGTGCTCAATATATTTTATTTATCTGGTGACCGAGATGAAAAACACATTTCCGATAGGAAGGAACGTGTTCAGCTCGAGAAATGAGTATAAGAGGTGAGCTCTGAGTTCAATCGCTTCCTCAGGTTCTTTTTTCCTTACCTTTCATCCTCCATCTCAGACAATGCCTCGCGACACTCGTTACACCAACAATGAACCCGATGGTACACCCTTTCAAGAGCTCATCATGTTTCCGACCTTGGCCCCTCAGCTTGCACGTCCTCAGCATGCCGCACCGCCGCGTGCTCCCCCCAACGGAGCTGGTGCTGCTGCTCCAGGAGCGTTGCCTGTCGCTGGCACTGCCGAGGAGAACAACAGTAAGTCACTGATGTCTTTCTTAATTTTTACTCATCTCTATTGTCCCAGATTTGTCTGATTTCACGCGTGCGTACTTGTTGAGGTTCCATAAACGCGGTGGTACATCAAAATATTGGCGATTGTGCCGATTGAGCAGCCAGCCATGTCAGCCAGCTTTCGGTATGACCAGTTGTTCTGAATGCGCCATTGCACCACCCTATCGCGTAGATCCTTTGAAAGCGAAGGAGCCATGATGAGTGCGATGGTAGAGCGCGCGTTATCTACTCGATCAATCATTTGTTTGGCTACGGGAAAGTTGGCACGTGACGACGCAAAAAAAATCGAAGTGTTCAATGACTTATGCAAACGGCTGTACAGTGCTTTGCACTGCCGTTTGCACAACAAGTTTTGGAAATCGTGTTTGTGTGTGTTGTATCGTGACCCTCAAATCGGGAAGTAAGAGACTGCTTACCGAACGCAACATCCAACAAGGCCTGCAATCTCCTGCGGTGAAAGCTGTTGCTCATCATGGCAAACGATGATTCGTGCACGCATCTCATGCAATACCTGAGGCGCAACAAAAGTTGGGTTTGAGAAATTCAAAATTCCCAAAGTCGTCCTGATGCGTGACAATCTGTGACGAACATACAAAACCAAACATAATTTTCACGATTTCGGTGTGCAAACGGCAATGCAAAGCACTGTATGTCAACCTAACTAGGCACACGGGGGCATTCTGGACCACCGCTTCCTTCAAACGCGCTGTCAAGTCTGTCAAGGCGCTGTCGCTGTTGACGGGTCTTCATCCTTTCATTTCCCATTGCAACGACGTCATTCTTCGCGACGGCTGTATGCTCCGGGTTCGTTAACGTTGTGTCACGACACATGATCACTTGTGCCGAAGGTAACGGTGAATTTTGTCGCGTTGAGCCACCGTTCAATGAAGTGACGACGAACCTCCCTTGTATCCAGAGTTAGTGCGGAGTCACCACGAAACCATAGAAAAGAGCGCACCTCAACCTTGTCTGCCAGCAAGAATAAAGAGACACATAAAAAAGCCTTGGATATTGTGAGAATACAACTGAATACAAGTGAATGGAGCGTACGTTGTATCCCATCGGAACCCCTCTAACAACGCCAGAAGAAGAGTTGCGAAGAGAGACAAATGTTCCTGTCCGCTGTCCCGGAAGTGACAATAAAAAAAGCTGTGTTCTCGCAACGGAACACAAAGGGCACCGATGATCGTCATAGTGAAAATTCAAAGAAGCGCCGTTTGTCGTTGTTTCGATGTGTCCAACTCATCGTCCCCCACGATCACGGGCAAGGTGAGTTAGGGACGTAAGTAGCAGAGCAGGACAGATCATTTTCAGTCATCAGCTGGCTATCTTTTCCACACACTTCTCTCTTTTCCACACCCTTCGGGCTAGACCTGCCACTCTCTCTATTACTTATCTGATCTCTTCCCTTCTTCACTACTTACTAGCTCTACTTGTCTCACTGCGATACCATGTTCAACGATATGCCGTCCCTCGTCGACGATCCCAACCCTCCGTTCATCCCTCCGCCCGCCGGTGCTTCCACAGGCGGTCAGCCGGGTTACTCGGGGTACTCAAACCCATTTCCCGGCGCCTCAGCGTACGTCGCCCTCGTCTAATCCCCCGCACACAGAACTACAGCTCATTCACACTGGCCGATTCACAGCTCAAATTGGCCGGGGACACCATACCCACGCCAATCCGCACCCCTCGCACCTCCACCAACAAGCGCTCAAAGTTGGACGTTCGGTCAAACCAACCCCTGGAGTGCACCAGCCGCCCCAACAACACCAGCGGGGACGTGGGGCGGCATGACTCCCGCTGGCTCCCTTCCACAAACGCCCTATACCCCGTACTCCAACGCCCCTCCTGCTTCTGCACCTGCAGGGCACTACCCTCCGTTTCCCCAGCCCAACGGTTACCCACCGTTCTCTCAGCCCAACGGTTACCCGCCGTCCTCTCAGCCCAACGGTTACCCGCCGTCCTCTCAGCCCAACGGTTACCCACCGTTCTCTCAGCCCAACGTCGGTCATTACCCCCAGTCCTCGCAGCCCAACGTCGATCATTACCCACCGATCTCACAGCATCACACAGGATATCCATTAGCGCCGAAAGAAGATCAAAGTGGGTGGTTCGGCTCAAGTTTGGGTATGAAGAGGTCAAATTCGTACCAGGGATATCCGAAGCGGCCTGGTGGGTTGGGTGCTTCGGGAGGGGGGCTAGGTGTGGGTGGATATCCGTCACCTACCGGAGGAATGGGGATGGGTGGGTACCCGTCACCGGCGGGAACGGGTCCGGGAGGGGTTTATTTGGCGTATGGTGAAGGATTCGATGAGAGGAACCTTGCGAGAAGGCCGAGGGATTGGAGGGCGGATTATAATGCGCGGCAGGGGATATCGTCTTTCTTGCCTAGAGTCGGTCGGAGTCGGTCCGATGTTCAAGGTCAGTTTTGCTCTACCTATTTTGAGCCTTCTCCTGCCATCTTTGGCGCGTTCGTTTGCGTTCTCTTTTCTTCTTTTGGGTCTTCTCTTTCCTCGCTTAGCGTCTCTCCCCCTTGTCTCCTTTTGGGTTTTTCCTTTCCTTATTCGCATCTTCTTCGTCTTTCTTCTTTCAGCTAATATATGCGCTTAGAATTCTCCGACCCAACCCGCCGAATCCTCCACCCTCTCCTTCAATACACACCAACCCGTCCCTCAATCTACCACGACCTCCGAGACGACCCCCTCAAGCCCAACACACTCGAATTCCTCAACCTCCAGAGACCGCCCAACGACATCGACTACGCCCAACTCGCCACCCAACCCCCCTCCTCTATCATGCGCATCTACCACCCCTTACTCCCGTGGTACATCGACGTCCAAAAGTCCCATACGAACGGGATAACCGTGTTCGACGTCTTGACGCAAATATGGCAGCAGTTGCATACCGCTATATCAAATAAACATTACTGGAATGAGGAGTTGGGAGCGCAGGAGAGGGCGGCGTTGAACAATGCGTTTTGGGAGAGGTGTAGAGGCGTTCAAGAGGAGATTTCGAGGGGGATTATGAGGATTGATTTCTTGGGCAGAAAGATTATTTTGATGGGTTTCGTCAAGGGGAAGAATGGGATGTGGGAGATGAAGACGAGGAAAGACGATTCTCCTGTTACTGGTGCTATGTAAAATATTATACTACCTCTTATGAATTCCCCTTGTATAGAGTATCTAGCGATCTACGTATATCCACTTGTATTCACTTGCTATCAATACCTTTGTTATATTGGCCTTCGCAATGGGGGCGATCAGTTTTCTTGCAACGAAAGCAGCAAGTTTGTGCATCTTCAAACAAATATCAAATGTCCGATCTACATAAATAAAAATAACAAAGTCCATGCGATACTTATAACGAAACAACATTCCCCTTCCCCATCACCTAACAAGTTGGGTGATACCCACTCGACGCAGCAAACTGCAAATAATCAGCAAGGTTTTGGTAAGGGATCTCCTTCGTCGCGCAAGACCCCGTCCAAGCGCTGATAATTCCCCAGAAATTCACGATGTAGTCCGGGCTGTTATATATATTAGTCAAACACTTTGGTAAGAATAAGAGTCAACTCACGAGGTAGGATATGGACCGTTGTTGTTCGTCTTGGAGGGCGTCTCAGCGGCGAATGGTCCGCCAAGGCTTATCCACGTCCCAGTCTGTTATGGTTCGTGAGCGGGCGGTACCTGAAGGGGTGTAGGGATGAAACGTACCAATCCAGTGTAATACGCGTCGATTGCATTTTGCTGGGACATCGTGGCGGATCCATTTGTCATCGCTTTGAAAACCTGCAACAAGCGAAATACATCACACAAAAATCAAAAGGAAAAAAAAGAGACTTACATCCAACGACAACCGCCCCTCACTCAAACTCGTCGGGATTTTTGAGATATAATAAGGGTATTCCTTCCTCAACAACACATCCGTCGTGCTTTGCGCATAACAAAAGCTCGCAAGGACGCAATACTGGTTCTGGAATAATCCCTGAGTAACCCAGAGCTGACATTGATTGACCATTTGCTGGCACGACCCGTTATCCGTGATGGGTTGCGGGACGCACGGGGTGGCCGCTGCTGCTGCTTTGGGGTCGCATGACATTACGGAGGGGCAGACGCCTGGGGTGGAGGAGTATTGGATCCAGTCCTGTTCAAACGTCTTTGGTCAGAAAGAGACGAGGAGGGAGGTTATTTGGATTACTTACTGCGAAGTTGCTGAAGGGAATCGCCCCACCGCAAAATCCAGTCCAAGCGGCGACGTAGTTGAATTGGGCAATAACGGCGGATGTGCTTGTAATACTCAGCCATTCATTACAAGAAAAAGCGCGGGACGACCTACTCCTGTGGATAGGTCCCGTTGGGCGTTACCGATATCTCATTGTAATACGCGTCAATATAATTCTGCTGCGTCATAGCAGGTGCACCGTCCGTCATCGCAAGGAAAGCCTGTGAATAAAAAACCCATGAAGAACGGTCAAAAAAAGGAAAAGAGAATCGGAAAACTTACGCTCTCCGTCATGCGCGGTTGACTCTTTGGTGCACCAACCGAATTAAGCGTCTCGTCCGGGCGGAACACAGAGCTCTCGCATACAGTCAAAAGGACACACGCAGTAGAATTGTAAAAGTTGTTGAAATCAACCGTGGCGGCGTTGCACGAATTTCTCAGCGACTGGCAGCTCCTTGAAGAACTTGGGTCAAGTCCGAAAGGGACTTGTGCAGACGCGATGATGGCGAGGCCGCCTAGTATAATGAGGGGGAGCATTGTGGTTTGGGCGAGGGGTAACGTTGAAAAAGAAAAGAACGACGGGGGATCTGAAATGATCAGTGGACGAGATTAATGACTTGGAAATAGCGAGATGATGTCGGAAGTTGCGTATACGTCGCAGGCTTTATATGATATCCTCTGCGCTAATTGCAAGCGGAGGACAATGACCGACGATGACGTAGTCCAAATACTGAAGCCACGATGCTTCCGTGATTCTGATGAAGGTCGTCACGGAGGATGGTAATAATCGCCCGTCGGTATTTGATTCAGTGGAGAAAGAAGTCGAGCAAGAAAACATCCTTGGTGTCCGCTGACAAGAATCAGCGTCGCGACTCACTGCCTCCCGAGTCCCCGACGGTCACGCATGCGGTGCGCCGAAACAGATCCAAGATTCCTGGAGACTGAAAAAATAAGGTATTGGAGATCAAAAAGGAATATTGGACCCGCATGTGTTTTTCAACTGAGCTTTTGGCTCGTAGTAATAAGTGTTCGAAGGTGTTCGATCCATAGAAAATATCGCATCATTGTGGATTACTCACAAAGTCCGCGAAAACGTCCGAGGATGGCTTTCATGCAGTGAATTGCAAGGCTATCCCTTCACAACATACAGAATCCACGTATCTTCCTCCGATGCTCTCCCGTCATCTGATCACAATACAGGCTTGGGTGTAGAAGCAGATGGAACTCGGACGTCAGTCACCGAGAAGTGAGGAATGACTGAGGTGACATGAAATAAGGTTTTTATTTCTGACTGGAGGCTTGATGCAAAGACTGGTAAGTAAATAACGGTGAAAGAGAGAAAGAAACAAACAAGGGCGTACGTGTAAATAATTGAGGTCGGTCTCCTCTGACATTTGGCTGAAAAGAAGAGGGTGATTTGGCTGCTAAATAGTTCAGAGCCCTTACCTAGCCACATCCAATTGCAAGTCGAAATCAACATCGCACCCGATAGTGAAGACCGATGTAATTTGGCAAGCGGTAGAGTGAAGCGCTTTGTTGATGCATACGTGTTGAACGTTGAAGCCTTGCTATCGAACAACAAAAACGAAACGGATGAAGGTCAGACTGCAAGAACCCTCTCTTGAATGAGAATTTTCAAGAAGTATCGCAGCTTTTCGTGCCGCTCTCACGGTCGTATCCCGAAAATGATAATACTCATATCGCTCTCTCTAGCCATTCAGTTCCAGGGTTATCGGCCCAGCAGCCGCTGGGGTTGGTTGTTCAGTCTCAAGCCAGCCTCAGGAGTAAAGCCGCAGCCGATAATTTGTCCAAGCTTACCAATATTCATGCAATCGATTACGGTGTGTGCTTAGCATCTCTATCCATCCTTGTCACGGTCCTCATACAGATCTAACAACGATAGTCCACTATCGTCTGTATTCAAAAGAGGGTGCACTAGCGTCAAAAACTTCATTTAAAAAAGATGAACCCTCCCTGGGTCGCATCAATATCCTTTCTATCATGCCACCACAGACCGTGTCATCTTTCCAAGCGCGCATTTACGGGGTGGAAAAACTCGACGGTTACACCCCATACTTATTTGAAAATATATTTAGCGAGAAGACGATCGGCAATGGTGCCATGTCATTTTCAGGAGCTTCTCATCCAGGCCAGAAAGAGGATCAACCGATGGCTGTTGTATGCAATCCTTTCGAACTGTCTACCATGTCACCGAGAGTACTGCGGCCACCTCAGTTTCGTCATCACGGTCAGTCCGCGGTATTATTCTTGGGGTGCTAAAAGTATTCAGCGTCTTTCGAATTCTAGAGAGAACTAAATCTCCGGTGAGTCACCTGGGGGTAGGGCGTAGTTTTAGTGCGAGCTGTATCTTATCAACCGTTTAGAACGTTTTCTTCGCTCCTTCCACGAAGTCGGGGGAGCAGGAAAAAAGAGTTGTACCACATTACAGTAAGTTGAACCTAATGATCGTTGAACTCAGGTTGATAGGCTCACAACAATTATGACCACCTTTTAGTCTATTATCGTAAATACGTCAAAGGTGGCCCTACTGGCTCAACTTACGCTATTTACAATGATGATCAATCCATCTGCCGCCTAGAGGTGAAGTCCATCACACCCCCTCATACGGCTGGGTCCCTCAGGCAAAATTTGCACAAAATTGAGAGTACCCCGTCTACTAATTCGCGTCTGCTCATATCGATCTGGAGCCAGGAGTTCTGTGACAACTCTTATCGTCTTGACCTCTCAGGGGATACGTATCCAGGATCATCTGAGCATGATCCAGTCGTCTTGTCTCTTGATCTCGTAGGGGGAATGAACTCAAAGGTTCTCGATGAGCAGATGATGCAAGTGTCTGGTGCACCACCCAAGGTTGCCTTCGGTACGGACCCTGAGTTTATCTTTGCGTACGTATAATCTAACTCATCCACACAGTCCATTATCGCCTATTCTCAGAAGATGGCGAGTTCGCATCGAAACGGTCCTTCGATAAAGAGGACCCCCCGCTGGGCCGCATCAATGTCCTCACTCTCAGACCCCCACATACCGTTAACTCTCTCAAGATGTGCATTGCGTGTCAGGAAGGCCTCACGCCCGTAACTGATGAGATGCCAAACGTGCAACTTTTTGCAAATTTGTTCAGTCGGGATCCAATGGCCGATGGTCCAATATTATTTTATGAGGGAGCTTACCCAGGGTGCGAAGAGGGCGAACCGATTGCGCTTGTCTACAAAAAAGATGAGCGGGCCTGAGACGAGAGGCAGAACGGACAATTGAGCGAATTCGAAACCTATGATATGTACATCTCTTCATAAATACGTTTCTTTCATTTGACGGTATGTGTGCGCAAATAAAACCAAAAGGGGGAATAAAGGTGTCTTTGAAAAGGTTGCGGGTCATTGAACTAACAGACTTTCTTGTAGAACCCAGGCTCAAACGCCTAGCTGTGAGTATTGAAGTGGAGTCCACCAGACCGATTTTGGGGGGTCTTTTTTTTAGGATACAAGTTTTTTTTTGAATGGTGATGGCGCGACAGAAGTTAAATTGAAGAAAAATCAAAAGTAGTTCATTCTTAAACAACAAAGACTACGAGTTCTGAAGAGAACATAAATCGGGTATAACCTAAGGAGTTGAGAATTAGAGACTTACGTTCATGGACAACTGAGAAAACAAAGAATCGTCAGAAAGCCCTGGATTTGAAAGGCAAAGTCCGAGCAACACCTACAGGCCTTCTTTCCAGAAGAGTTGGTTGCAGAATAACATTTTTGACCTATAAAGTTGATACATCAGTGTAGGATTCCAGAATCAACTAGATGAATTACCTGGCGTAACGGAATCGTCAGTCAACAAAACTCCGTCTGTCTGGAAAATATCCCCAATCTCGTAAGAATGCCACACGGCGTATCTGCCCCCCCAATCTAACAAAAAACACATACGTTTGAGAAAAAAATATGTTGGACATTGCCACCCACCGCTCCTCCCGATTGCTTTAAGTTGCTTCATGAAGCTTGCGCACTGTGTCGGCGGGCTTCCTGTCACCATATTGTAGACGATGGCGATGGGTTCATCTTCAGTAATACCTGGATAGGATTTAGCGCGAAGAGTAATGGCGTCTCCGTCATTCATAGCGGTCATGCTGTCCTCATCCTCGAATAGCTGAGGATTAGGATCACGTATCGCTTCAGCTTTTATAAGACGACGCTTCAACGAAGCAACACTGTAGGGTGGTGGGATAGAGAGAACATCGACGCGACCTAAAGCTGTGTCGGTCTCGTCAAAGGATGTTTTCGAAGTGGCGTCGCCGTTATTGTCGTAAACGCGATAGTGAACTGACCTCAATTCGTGAGTTATCCATCAAATTCTTGTGGGTTATGATTCATGCGCACCGTATTGCCTCTCTTTGTCAAATTCTCCAAACAGCTGGGTAGACTCCATATTCCCCCCGGCTGATCGCTTCTCAAGTGCTGCTGAATCGACAACCAGAACCATCGGTTCAAATTCAGATGAACCTGGCCCATTTTCACCACGGAGTGGGAGTTGTATAGAATCATCCAAAGGCGCCTCCGAGTCCGATATCGACAGGTACAAGTCACAATGTTTAGGTAATTCAAAGCCCTCAACCCTGTATAGGTAGGATTTCAGCGATGCGGCAATTCGGGGAGGTGGCACGGATCTGGACACGATGCGGCTAATAAAGGGATCGTTGGTGTAGATGGGATGGTGCGATGCGAGTGCTTCATCTTTGCTGTATAAACGATAGTAAACTGTGCGGCTGTGGTGAGGCAAAATAGTACTGCGGGATGGAGGATGATTCTACCGTAACGTGGTGCAACTTTTTTGCTGGATTTCTGTGTCATCATTAATGCCAATCAGATATCTCGGGAGGACTGGATACACTTACGAGGCTGTCTCCTCGGCCATCCGAGTAGGCTGGTTCGTCAAGAGAGCTTGTACCGCTCCCCATGTCGGGTGATGCTTTTGAGCCACTTGCCCTCATCGCAATCAATCTCGCGCTAAAAACAGGATTAATAAAGCGGGCGCTTAATCTCTACAAAATAAATGTTAGTTTTCATCGCGCCAAACCTTTCACATTGTCAAAAAACTATGATACCAAAACACGGCGCAAAGTTTTCAACGGACATGGACTGTATGTGGCACCCGTCAAATGCGCATAAACTTGTTACGATTTTTGGCGACGGGAGAATGTCTTCACTTACGCAAGAAGGTGGATACGTATCATACAAGATTTGATATATATTTGCATCGAAAGAGGGACACAAAAAGATGTCCGAGCCTATTGCGTCTCGTCGTCGCCTGCCCCGTAGGAGAAGGCCGAGCTTAGTTGGCAAGTATTCTGGAGGAATAAGACCCGCTCTCTTGTTAGAATTCTTAGTAACGGAAGAATACCTTTACTCACTGCGCAAGTTGCGCGGTCTGTGGAATGGGTGATTCAAAATTGAACATCGAGTTGAGCAACCCTCAAAGACAGAGCCTGGCGTCGAGGAGACGAGCGGAGACAAGCGAACACTATAACGCTTTGAATACATTTGGTGCAACTCTTTTGCGCATAATATGCGCAAGGAAGAAGGACGAGCTTGGTTGACGTTCAAGAAATTTGCCCAAGACTTGGCACGTGATAATTTCTCATCTGAACTCCGCTCGGCTGCTTCACCTCACAACCTTGGCACCGATCATGATCTTGTTCTCCCTTGCCTCCTTATTTTCTTACTCTCATCATGGATATCGACGCTGAGTACTTCATCTTCGACGACCCTGGCGCTGATGGCCTGAAAATTACGGCGAAACGTTACACAAGTAGATCGAGGGTGAATAAAAAGGGCTTGACGTTGCTATTCGCTCATTGCATAGGTTCTCGTGAGTAATCATTCTAACATACATACGACACGCGTCAATGAAAAGGTTAGATAAGGAGCAGTGGGAGCCCGTCATTCAACGCCTCTTTCAAGTCCAAGAGACCGAAGCTGAGGTGCATCGGATTCGGGAGGCGTGGTCATTCGACTGGCAAAGCCACGGAGATGCTGCTGTCCTGAATCACAATCTGTTGAAGGATCGTACAAAGTGTGTTTGTGAGTTATTCTGCTCTTCGTACACTCAGCCGGGATGGGGCTGTGTGTGTTCTCCATATGCTACCATGTGCTCGGAATTATCGCCCGCCAAGAACTATGTTTTGGGTTTCGTTGTCTAATAACACCTTCAACAGCCGTTTACGAATGGACACCTGCGTTGGCAGCCTTCATCCGCTCACCTCGAATGCAGGGACACCGGATCGTACCTCTAGGGCATTCTGCTGGCGCAGCTGCGATGTACGTATTCATTTTTTTTACCATGATCATCGTTACGAACAGACCACCCGTGATGCTTTACGGCCTCGCGCATCCTATATACGATCCGCGCCATAATTCCATTCCCTTCTTTTCCCGCCGTCTTTTCGCCACTAATGCCCCCTGTCTTAGGTTGCTAACGACCAAGGAAATCCCCCCATCTACATTCGCCGCCATGATTCTTATTGAACCTACTATCGTCACTCGGGAAGTATTCAACTCTGAACTGGAAGACCGCATGTCCGCCATGGATTTTTCCGTCGCAGCCACGTCTTCCCGCCGGGACGTCTGGCCCTCCCGGGACGAGGCATTCCACTACTTCAAGAAAAGGATCCCATGGAGGGTTTGGGACGAACGTGTAATTCTTCTGCTCACAGTAAACCCTCTCCGCTGCCTTGTTTTTTTCACATATCTGATATCGGTATAGCGTTACGGATTGCGTGAATTGCCTGGTGGGGGCGGTGTTACCCTGAAATGCGAGCGTAAGATGGAAGCCGTATCTTACCCGGATACAGAGCCCCACTTTGAAGCTGCTATCCAGTTGTGTAATGTTTGTCATGCGATTCCTATACACCTCATCTGGGGGACAAGGAACGATCTCGTGTATGTCCTTCGCCTCCTCCCCATTCATCCCGTAGCCAACAAAGGACAGCCCGGAATTTATCCAGGACTCGTTAGCGGATGTTACTGAAGGTCGGATAGTTGCGTCTGTAACGAAGATTAAGCAAGCTGGACATATGGTTTGTGTCCCACACCTATTGTTTCGAAACAAATTCATTGTGCTTGCGTAGGTGGTACAAGAACAGCCGGATGCCCTTGCGAAGGCTATTAGCGATATACTAGTGAGAATTGGCCCTGGTTGTCAGATCATAGCGGACAGGTCCAAGCTATGATCGGTTTTTTTGTCGTAGGTCCAGAGCAACGACCCCATTTTCTCTCAGAATAGGCTGTATGAAAGTTGTAGGATGAGAATGTGTATCGGTCAAGGGCGACGGTGGCTGTCACAGACAGCCACCGAATGTGCTCAAAGAGGTGGATGTCAAATAGAAACGGCCATATGATCAGCTTTCTGACTCCGACTTTCCAGGGCTCGACGACGTATCGGATGTTTTGAAGCCTTCAATTTGGCGCAGAACCCGAGCGATGGATCGTGCAGTGTGAGGTGGCGGAATCGATTTCACCAAGATGCGACCGATGGAGCGATCGTTGCTATAAATAGGGCGCCTTGATTCCAGCAGTTCGTCTTCAGCGAACAAACAGTAGTAGACTGGGAATAGAACTTAGGTCAAGAACGAGGGATGCTCGATTCTACTCTACCGGACAAAGGTTCAATAGGCAACTTTGACGCCCCAGCTGTAGGGTCGGGTGTCTGAAGTTGAACACTGATTAGCCTAAATGAAGTGCTGTGACGCAGTTACTCACGGGAGCTTGTGTAGCTTCACGAACATATTGGGGGGTGGTTTCAGTGCTCATAGTGTCCTGTAAACCGGAGCTAGACGCCACAAAGAGTTCAAGTTAGAATACCGCTCGAAATGATTCTCACGGTCAATTTCCTCAGATTTTCTCGTCTTCAACCGACGTCTAATTTGTCACTCTATCAACGCAAGGTTCACGTGCCAACCACGCCATCTGTCATCATGCCGACCCATTCTTACAAGTACTCCACGCAAGTTCACTATATATACCCTATCTTCGCCATGCTTCGACCAGTTGACCATGGCTATCTCTGAAGTTGCAGACTCCCTCCAATCTCTTACCATCGACAATAAAGCTTCTTCTTTTTCTCTTTCTGCTGCAACCCAACCTGACATTGAATATCACCCCAATGAAGAAAAATGGAAAGCCAGAACAGCACGGCGACTAGCTCAGGACCCCTCTCTCCCCAAGTCCCCGTTGCAAGAGGGTTTCCCAACTCGGCTTGAATCACCTCTCGTATGGGAAGGGAAGGACTTGAAGGACGAATTGGAGTGGGTGTACAACCTCACCCCAGAGCACCTGAAAGAGATTGATGACGCAGTTCATCACTTCCATAGTACGATGCCCATGTCTCATGACGTACCGTCTTCTGATACCCCGTGCAGGCTTCTCTAAACCCCTAGGGCAACTATCCAGCACCACGTTCCCCCTTCCCACTCTTGGCCCAATTCTTTCCACCCTTGCACGTGCCCTGCACACAGGACGCGGCTTCTTTGTCCTGCGTACCATCCCCGTCTCATCCTACTCCCGTGAAGACAACATAATAATTTACGCCGGTATCTCATCACACGTCGCATCCTTACGCGGCGTGCAAGACCTCAACGCTGGAGTCCTAGCACACATCAAAGACCTCTCCAAAACCCACTCGGCAAAAACCATCGGCGCACCAGCCTATACCACCGACAAGCAGGTGTTCCACACCGACGTTGGCGATATCGTTGCCCTCTTCGCATTGGAGACCGCCCACGAAGGCGGTGTATCCAGGATCAGTAGCAGTTGGCAGGTATACAACAAATTAGCAGAGACAAGACCGGATTTAATCAAGACTTTGTCAGAGGACTGGCCTTTTGACGGGTACGCGCCCCCTTTGCCCCTTTCCTCCCTCTAATACCGTCTCAAAACATATACAGATTCGGTGGCGACCCTCCATACACGCTCCGCCCCGTCCTATTCCACCACGATTGCAAAATAATAATCCAATACGCACGAAGGAACTTCACAGGTTTCCTTGGCCTCCCTCGATCGACCTCAATCCCACCTCTAACCGAAGCCCAAGCCGAAGCTCTCGATACTATTCATTTCCTCGCGGAGAAATACAATTTGGGGCTCAATTTCCAGAAGGGTGATATTCAGTACATCAATAATTTGAGCGTTTTTCATGCGAGGGATGGGTTTGTCGATACTCCTGAGAAGACGTGGGAATTTTTTCTTTCTTTCTCTCATGTCGTGTACTAATCATTTTTGTAGACGCCATCTTCTGCGTCTGTGGTTGAGGAACGAGGAATTGGCATGGAAGCTCCCTGAGAAGCTCGAGCCGATTTGGAAGAGGTTGTATTACTCTGCGACGCCTGACGAGCACCGATTCCCTGTGGAGCCTGAGATTCGCGCGGCTTCAAAGGGATATGCAACGTAAATTGTATGTCTGTACACATAGTAAACTGTTATTTTATCACGAAGATCCCTCTGATGCCTGCAGCCTTCCGATCTCTCGACAGATATTCGACCTTGCCCGTTCCTCCATCCCACTCCCCTTAAACGCATTACTGAAGTATATCCTCTCCCTCTGTAAAAAATCGTTCAACACCTTCCTTCTCCCGGAACAATACGCCGACTCGGGGTAATGGGCGTACTCGTTCCGGATAGCCGCTGCATACGCATCGTATTTAGTCTCTTCCGCGGCTAAGATCGACGTATCGATATCCAAGAAAAACTTGAGGTCGTCCAGTGCACCCGTGTCATGGACAAGCGACGAAATAGGTTGGTGGTGGATGGTAGCGAGGATCATGGACGATACGCGGGATATCTCCCGCTCGTCGAGCCTGAGAGCCTCGGATACAGTTGGGTCAAAGGCATCCTCCAAGAAAACATCGTTGGACTTTCGTTCGTTAGAGCCAACTTCTGTCGTTGTTGGGTCATACACGATGCTATTCAAGAGTCACAAAATCAGAGGCAAAAAAACGAAAGAAAAGAACAAAAACGCACTCATGGAACAATATAGCCAACTCTACGCATCTAGGGTTATCCAATTCATCTCTGTGTTCGGATAGAAGCTGTAGGAGGTCGTTGATGTGCGTGAGGGTATGATAATATCTCGTAGGTTGGGAATAAGCTGTTTTGAGTTTGATGAGCCAGGTTGGAGTGGATTTGAGTAGAGACTGTAGAGTATAGGTGTCGATGTGGTTGGGGGTGGTCATGGTGCCAAGGGGATGGAGAGGATGTTGTAGAGGAATTTGATGTCACACAAGATGGACAGGTGCTCCCTGCTGAAGACCTGACGAAACGCCCAAAAATCCGTGCTCAATTTGAACGTCAACGGACTCACAATGAACAACTTATTGTTACCCCTTGTGGAATGATTATGGCCCGGGAAACTTTCTACGGCGCAGAAGCCGTCACAACTGTTGTCGTCAAGTTGTCGTAAGTTGGGAGCTCAAGTCCACCATCTGTACTAATCATTGTTCTAGGAGATGATCAACCATACGTACAGACTTCCAGGGTCAATGCCTGAGCACATTTTTTTCGACAACAACTGCTCGCTCGCCAAGGCTGTGAAGAATGACCCAGTGTTCCGGAATGTGGGCCTGACGGTCGCTGTTTTCCGCTTCAAATGCAAGCATCGGGAGACGGATACATTCTGCCAAATGAATTGTAACCCTGCGGCTTACCCTGAGCTCCGGGGTGAGGGCAATAAAGCTTGGTACTTCAATTCATCTATTGCAGGGCAAACGAATGACTAGCTTGGTGGGTATCAGGCGATTTGTCGCGAGATGCATGTTGACAGGTATAATTTCTTCCTCGACGAGATGGTGCGTCGTAGGAACATTATGACGAATGAAAGGTTAGCGAGAACAAAGCAGCAGCCAGGAACATGGCCCACCATTTAACTAACATGTTGTTTACCATCTTGAAATACTTTTATTGCTAGTAAATATACATCGAACACATCGAGTTAAAGGGTGTATCCACCATCAATGTGCACCCAAGCACCAAGTGACGCGGTTTCATACATTTGAAGCCCTCCACGATCAGCAGCGTCAGCAAGTTCAACGAGGGAAAGAATCCCAGTGGTGAGGACGAAGAAGGGCCAGGTAAATCCGGCTTGGAACAGTCAGATAAGAGGGGGGAGGCATCTTGATTCCAGGCGTAAACGACGATGCTTTGCTTGGAACGCTTTTCATTTTGAATATGTTCCGCATCACGCTGGCGTCGGTCTTCGAGAAGCTCTTGTTCGCGACGAAGTTGATCGGTCAAGATGGCGGGCATATGCGACGCGTAGCGGGCATCGGGAAGGGCGTTGATGGTTTCCGTGGATGGTGGGGTAGACTTGGATGGGCCGGCCACCGGTGAATGAGGCGGTAACGACTCTTGGGCAAGAGGAAGAGAGGACGAGGGAGGCTAGTGTGGGGGTGAGGTGTGCACAGGCAGAGCGACGTTTGAGGCGGATGGAGAGACGTTTATAGGTGCAGGTGCGTTGTCCAGAAGGTGGGTTTCCACAAGGCACCCACCCAGCTGGCGGCAGTGCTTCCGACAAAGGCGCCGTGGACAAAGTGGGGCAATACGCCTTTGCCCACATCCAGCCGTAGGACAAGCGTCAGTTGGAGCCTGCGCAAGATGAGCTAATGGTATAGTGGGGGGTACTGGTGCCGGGGGGACACCTATCGAGGGGTTTGGCGAGGAGGCGGGAGATTTGCTTGAACCCTTCTTAAACCTAAAGAAATTGCACGGAACGCCTTCCTTGTTTGAGTTCTTGCACTACATAAGAAGAGGTTAGAGATATTAACCGTAAAAAATGATAATGAATCACATACCCTTGCCATTAACCGACCGCAATTTCCGATGGCGTACACGCATATCCTCAGGATCTGTTGAAGCGCGACCAGGCGATTGGGACATGATAGAGGGTTGGCGTGTGGAACACGCGCGTGATGGTCTGTTGGCGTTGAACGAAGGGGGGGAAGGGATGTGCCATTGTTAGTTGCATGTCGAAGCTGTGACGAACAATCAGCAAAAGCATATAGTTTTGGGGAGGGAGTAACTCACACGATAGGGAGGTGACGCACTTTCAGCAAAATGGGTTGCGTAGATTGTGTTGGCGGTACTGGGAAGGTTCGCGCTGGCGAGGTTTTCAATGTTTGGCAGCAGGAAAATAGCCACATTCAAAGTTGGCCGATTATTTGGTTTTGGTATCAAAAGAAGTCAAAACAAAGAAAAGAAATAAAGTCGGAAGAAATTGTAAAGATATTCTCAACACCATATCATGCTACTTCTTTTCTGCAAGAAGGTAGCTTAAATGCCACCAGAGGTATGGCTGCTTGAAGTTTGCCAAAAAAATTGTTGCACGCTTCGCGCGCCAATGATCTAACCCGATGACCACACAACAAAACTAATATCACTAAATCCTGTACATAAAAAGTAGCTCAAGGTTTTTCAAATGATGAAAAGTTCGTTCCCAAACTTCTTGGTTTTTTTTCAGCCAAGAAATTAACTGAGTGCAGTGAAAATTGAATTTCGAGAACCCTCGTTCAAGTGCTGGTCACGTGTACGTGACGCTTGGGGGTGGCAGATAATGTCGGCCTCAATTTCTCTTTTTTGGCACAATATATCGTCGCAGTTTTTTAAAGGAAGTGTATGATGTACTTATGACTATCTACAGGCCAATTTTGGTTAATGTAGGTGTAGTATCCGTTGAGAAACACCTCATGCGCGCTGACAGACATTGGACAGACATCATCCTGACGCTTCCCGACGGTGCCCTTCGCTGTCGAGCACGATTAGCTCGGATTTTATAAATATTTTTGAATACAACATTTGGTACTATAAATAATACACTGCCTACTATTTTGAAGAAGAAAAAAAAAGAAAAGAAGTTTTAGGCAATAGAGGTGAGCTCGCTGTGTTCGACGATGACGAGAGACTTCAGGACGATGTTGAGGACTGTGCGCAAAGGTTTGGGCGGTGATGACGCTGCATGAGAAGCCCTCATTCGGAGTCTGAATATTTTCTTAGCTAAAGGTCCAGCATCAACAACAGAAAAATAAAGATATAAATAAATAAAAAGAGGAAAAAAGCGAAAAAAAGCGAGTTTTTTTATATCTTATCTTATCTTACATACATGAGCTGTAAACTACTGACCCATCCTACAGTGTCTTGCATAATGCTTTGCAGCATGGATTTTTTCAAATCGTATTTGATTATATTTGTAGTGAACCTGATATGTCACAACTAAGGCCCAACGAAATGATCTCTGTCCGGAATAAGCCTGAATGTGACATCTCAGGACCAGTTTAAACACAGCCAAATACAATTTCAAAAAATTCACGCTGCAAAGCATTATGCAAGGCACTGTAACATCAGGATCCGCCTATCAAAATAATCGGGACGGACCGCCGGACGCTCGGACCTTCGGATTTCTCAAAACTGACACCACTTGAAACCTTCCCATCCTTCACCAACGTATAACAATGAACATGAGCTTGCGTCGACCTTTTTTCCGCCTTCGAAGAAACATCTGCTCTTCATCAATTCTCAAAGCGAGAAGGTCCACGAAACCCACTCCTTTGCCCTTCCCTCATGAAACATTCAGAGGAAAGGATACAGATTTGGAGACAGGCACATTCCACTTCAATGTGGAGCGGTCTTCTTTCATGGATAACGATCTTCCTCGGCGCCTGCGTCTGACCTCCAATGTTAACGTTAAATCCTTGATATTGGGTTCCAATCTGTTCAATTTCACTACTGCAGATTGGGATGAACTGCCAACAGAGTTGCAGGCCGCCTTACAGCATGTCATCCGCCTCCCTACCTTGGAGCGTCTCGAGGTTGTCAATCTCAAGAACTTACCAGTCTCTTTACTAAGTGCCGCTAGCTTCTCAAGGCTAACCATACACCACGCCAAATTCCGTAGAAGCAAGTTCCGCAAGCACAAAAATACTCCCTCTAATATCGTAACCCGCTTGAAGTCCTTCACCTTTCACCTCATCCCACTTTCCAGCATTCGGGCCCTCGTACGCGACAAAATATCAACGGATTCTCTCGCCATAGACTTTTCAAGTCTACATTCACTCACTGGCATCAGCCTGTGCCATGCGGATGAGGTTGCCGCATTCAAGGAGGTGATGAAGGTTTCACCAAACTTAAAAACTCTTCATTGCGAAAGTAAGTTCTAATCTATCATCTAAGTCAATCTCAACTGAATGTTTATTCCAGTTGGAGGAGAGGTCCCTTCGCCTCTGGCGGCGTGTCGGTCATTGAAAACCTTAGTACTTCTCCTCGACATTGGGGACAAATTACAGGATCCACTGCTTGGTCTTCCAGATGCGCTATCCGAGATGTCGGGAGACAACGTACTTGAAGAACTGTTAATCAACACCTATGTCCGGTGCCACAACTCTTGCCGAACCGATGCGATGTGGGGGAGACTTGATGATGTCCTATCGCGGTCCGCCTTTCATTCCCTTCGCCGTGTATCCCTCAAAATTATTGTTTGGGTTGACGATTTATATTCTTCCGCCGAGGAACTTGAGGAACGTCAATTAGGGGAACGGCATCGGAACGCATTGAAGGAGGAGCTAGAGAAAATGGGAGCTTCACAATTCACCTGGCTTTTAAGTAATATGAAGTTTGAATTCTCTGTGAGAACAATTACGTATCTTCAGAGTGAGACCGACCCAGAAATCCTCAGATACTTGCAGTCGGCTGTTTTGTGAATTTACAGGGTTCATTTGACATGCTCGCAATATTTCTTACAATGTCGAGCATAGATCTGAAGGTACTTATCATGCTTGTCCATATTGTTGAACACGATTGGACATACCTAAATATAGCCACTTGCTTGGAGCTTGCAGTGATGGCGGGGTCACTACTGACCCCTTGACGGATTGACGGGGTCAAGAGTCTAGACGGGGTCAGACTCTGGGTCAGGTTTCGTCAAAGGGTCAGTCCGTGACTACCTCGCTCACGTGAAGAGCGTAAATTGTATTAAATTGTGATATCTCCGAAAAATCATATTATAGTGGGGTACTGCAGTGGAGCACTAAGTTGTAGCTCCGGGTTGAGGGCAAGGGGATGAGCTTTAGTATTCTTCTTACTTTCCCCCCATGTCTCGTCAAAATCCTGTATGGGAACACTATCATAAAGGTGTAGAAAAGTACAAAACTAACAAGTCCAACTACGAGGTGTGGTGCAAGTTTTGCATTCGGAACAGAGTGCAACGGATTCTTCACGCGGAATTGGACGATGTCGCAAATGGACGACGTTTTAGCGCGCGGACTGAAGGGGAGATAGAAGAGACAGGTATGTGAGCAGGAAGCCAATCAAGTATTCCAGAAGTCACTCACATTCACGTTAATAGTCAAAACCTCTGAACGTGCCGCATGCGGAAAGGTTGAGGACATGTGGAAGCATCTTGCAAAGGACTGCGAGCATGTCAGTGCTGCAGTCAAGCAGAAGGCTACGCAAACCTTGGCCAGTTATGCGCAGAACCGAGCAACGAAGGCAGGCAACAAGGAAAATGAGCGCCCCACGGCACCTACACCGGCACAGCCAATAAGCAGCTCGAGAACCTCGAGTCTGGCCTCGATTGGCCTGACATCACCCATGCAAACCTTGCCGGCAAGCCTCCCCGCGATGCCATCTCCTCATGGTGCATTGAGCCTCACAAGTGAGAGGCCATCTCAGCGGCGAAGGACTGCTTTGCACTCGCCAGCGGAGGGAGACGTGTTCTACGAAGAGACGTCAGCGCCACCAGTCTGGCCAAGTGCTCAACAGGCAGAATGGATGGCAGACCTTTGCTTTCTGATGGTAACGTGCAATATCGCATGGTGGGTCGCAGAGCATCCGTACTGGCGCTACTTCTTCCAGAAATGGGTACCGGGCAGTTTGATGCCAGGTCGTAAGCAGTTGTCCGGTCGGATTCTTGACGAAGAGAGCGAGAAGATTGTGGAGAAGATCAAAACGACGGTGAAAGGGCAACATGGAACAGGGCAGTGTGATGGCTGGAAAAATATCGCTAAAACGTCGTTGATTGCATCCATGGTCAATGTGGAATACAAGGTGTGTCTCGTCATTCGTCAAGTATGAGCAGAGAAGGCTCTCGACTTACACAATTTCCTAGCCGTACATGCTCGGGCTTGCCGACATCTCATCTAAACCCAAAAATGCAGAAACACTACTGGATATCGTGTTGATAGAGATCCAGTACTGTCTCACCGTGCTTGGTATCATTCTCGTGGCCTGGTGTACGGATGCGAGCGGTGAATCCTTGAAGATGAGAAGGCTTTTGCGCGCGAAGTATCCTTGGATTGTAACGTTAGACTGTTGGGCTCATCAGGTGAATGGCTTTCTGTGCTGCGTGAAATGAAAGACTGACCTGCAAATACAAACAGATCAATCTCGTTGTCGGTGATTACTTCAAACTCAAGACACGGTTCATCAACGTTGTCAACAATGCGCTCGAGGTCGTTAAGTGGTTCAACAGTCACAGCCGTGCACTCGGAATACTGAAAGACAAACAACGCACCAAACTTCCCAAGGTCCTGGCCCTCATTCTTCCTGTGCTCACGCGCTGGACCTCCCATTATCTGTCCGTTCGCCGCCTCCTGGAGCTCGAATACTTCTTCCGCTTATTAGTCCTGGACCAGGAATCGCGTGCCGTCCTCATTCTGTGTGCGGGTGCCAAAGCCGAACAGAAGAGAAAGGCAGAGGAGATCATGAAAATCATCGAAGATAGCGGTTTCTGGAGTGATTTGAAGATGTGAGTCCAATTTGTTCAATGAGAATGCTTGCGTGAAACTTACAATAGATCTCAGCATCCGAAGTCACCTTGAACCTCTTGCCATAGCCGCCAACGTCACGCAAAGCGATTTCGCACGCCTTGACGTTGTTCTCTTAACCCTTGCAAACTTGTTCTTCACCTTCTCAAATCCTGAAATCGAGGCAACAGTTCGCATCGGCATTCACGAGAGCCTGGAGAAGCGCTGGAAAAAGGCTGATCAACCCGTCTTCCTGCTTGCAGTCGTTTTCAACCCATACATACGGACACGTTGCTTCCACCCCAACAGTCCCTTCAAGCTCATGCGAGGGCTTTGGCCACTTGTCAAGAAGACTTTCCGGCGGTTCTTCGATCAAGATCCTGATAGCGCATTCAGGCAGTCGTTTGCAAATTACATTGCCGGAGTGGGAAGCTGGTCGGACGAAGCCATGAGTCTGAGGGAGCTCAAAGAGCTGGCAACAGCAGAGGTGAGTGATCCATTATTGGCATGCGAAAGGTTCTCATGTCCGTATCTACAGAAATCACATGTGAACCTCGTCAGCCTTTGGCGAGAACACGACACGGGACTCGACAACGGCCCAAATGGCATCGTCAAGCTCGCGATGCGGATTCTGAGCATCGTTGCAAACTCGGCTGGCACGGAACGGCTCTTCAGCAAATTCGGCATTGTTCACACCAAACATCGGAATCGCATGCACCATGAGCAGACACGCAAAATTGTGCTCGTGAAATCGGATGTTGAAGAACGCCACGGCCGCCCAGCGCAAACACGAAACAAACGCAAATTCCAAGACGACGAGTCCACGTCACCTCACGACGATCCGGATCCATTTTCATCATTGACCTCAAATTCTGTCACCACCCACTCCGACTCCACCACCACTGGTGAACCTGACCAGTCGACGGAAGAAGGTATCGACGAGGAGCCGATTCCTGAGTTCGTCGACCTTATTCAAGGTCTTGTCCAAGAGGTTGACGAGGTGGAAGCACACGGTGACGACGCGGATGAGGAGCCCGATCCAGTCCCAGTTGATGAGCCTCTCACCAGAGCAGAATCTCTCATGCTCAAGCATCTTTTTCACTACCCAACTCATTCTAACCAGTCTCCTGCCTCTTTAGCTTTCTTTCGGGAGTACTGGACACACGCCGAAACTAGTTTACAAGTCGAAGTCGAGTTCCACGACATCTTGCACGATAACCCTTAAATAACTTTTTTTGTACATACATATGTTAAATTAATTCAACCGGGCCTAATCTCCCGGTCACGCACTGACTCTGACGAAAAAGGGTCAGAAGGGTCTGACGGGGTCTGACGAAAACGTCTGACGGAGTCTGACCCCGTCATGCCCATCACTGGCGGGGAGGAGTCTGGCAAGGCGCTTGATGCGGTTCAAGCCTTGATGCAGAGGTGATGGGTGATGTTGAGGAAGTGCTTGATTTTTCCCAGATGGCGTCGTTTGGTGTTTCAATGAACATTATACCTCGATTCACACGGACGAGAGGCTCGATATGTGTAACTTGACATGTGTTTGTGGGATGGAGGTGGACGAGGGTGTGTAGCGGGGAGATGATCCGTCTCGAGTGGACGATGGAGAGGAGGAGAGTTTGGAGAAATGCGGGTGCTGAATTGTGCTTTGTGGAAGACGGTTTATGATTAATGGCTACAGAAGAATGAGGATGAGAGGGATTAATGACGGGAAAGAGGAAAGTGCACCTTTGATGATGCCGTCGGGAGAGCACCCTCAGCAAGCTTGAGTGCAGAGGGGCTTGATAGGCGACTTTTTGATGACAACTCTAAAAAGAGTCTCTACAGTGTTCGGCTTGGATGCAGACATCAATTAGACCAATTGTACTAACTCGACCGTTAGAAAGGAGTGTCGGAAAGTTCGAACAAAACACGTACTCAGTTCCTCATGATCAACGACCCTCGCAGAACCCTCATCCTCTTCTTTTTCCGAGAACTGCCGCATTGCCTATTGCATCCCCCGATTTGATACGATGGCCTTCGCGTCTTGAACCGCGATTTTGTGGATTACAGCTACCAGGCTGAGTAACTTGGGCGTTCCAGCCGTCGAAGCCGACTTCGCCTCCAGTGTTGCTGTTGCTTGCCTTAACAAAGCTTCGGAATGTCCAGACAGTGTCAATGAGATCAGTTGACAGGCGGCGACTTCGGCTTGAGCTCGTATTGATGACGAAGCCTCTCCATCGAATAGAACGCCCACCAGCCGTGCAAAAACCCACTTCGAAACCTCCCCATCAAGCCCAGAAACATCACCGTCTCTCAACCTCGTAGTATTCCACCAAGCATGCACAGCAGGAACAAGCTGCTCATTTGAACGCCTCAGAGCCTAGTTTGACTATTTCCAGACCTGAGGGGGAGGCCATGCCATCGGTGAAGGATAGGAATGTGTCGAGTAAGGTGAATAGTTCTTCTGGGTTAATTAATGTGTTGAACCACCTAGTAGTACTAGTGCGAATCGGACCTTATTATAAATTGGGTGTCGGAAATGTGAAAAGGAGGTTACAAGAGGACTTACGGAGAGTGATGAATCACTGTCAAGAAGAACGAGTTAGAGCTAAGCGCTAAGCACCGATGTCTGTGAGGGCCTGAGATACGTGGTCAAATGGCTTCAAGACGCTGTTGAGA